CAAGATTTCTGGTACAGAACATTTAAATAACTACTCACATATTATGAGACACATAAAGAACAGACAGATGATAGGATGAAAGCTGATGATACTGACTATGGCAAGTGTCACATAGCTGAAATCAGGTATTTAGGAACTTCATCTCAATTCACACATCAGGGCAACTAAGGAGAAAATATCCAGTATAGGGTCCTTCAAAGTAATGCTTTACTTCCTTTCTCGGACTTCAGGGAAGCAACTGCAAGATTATCAAAACGTAGCACTCTTCATAGCTTGAACAACTAAACAAAGAAACAAAAAATCCAAACAGAAATCCACAACCCCTGTAAATTTCACTTGAACAATGAACAAAAAACACTAAATAAGTGGATTACAGAGTCATGCAAAGAACAGAACCCACCATTAATCCTGCATGAGAAATCAGAATCTGTGGCACTGTTTACAGGAATGTGAGATAGCAGCTACAGGTGTACTCAGCAATACACTGTGGATTTAAAACTTTTAGCATCCCATGCTAATTTGCATAGCCTTTCTAACAAAGGCTAAAAGCTTCTTTCCAAGTTTTAACCTGTTGAACATAAGCAAACCCACATATTTTAGACAACAGGGTAATCTTTGATATTCAACCTATGCTAGGATTAACTTCATCTAGAGATTTCATGCTCATTTTAGCCCTTTGAAGCGCTTAAATAATCTTACAGGGAAGAAAACAAAACGAATTGAGCTAATGTTTAAAGGTTATTGTCAATAGAGGCAGGACAAGCACTTCAGCTTGATGTCAGCACAGTTCCTTTCCAAGTTATTTTGTGTTTCTGTTGCTCTTTTCAACAACATCTCATTTAATCACTAGAAGAGATTACTTATTGCTTAATACCTGCCTACTGTGTTCCCCAAAACAGAGAGAGAAGGACTTTAAAGACAACAAAGCATCTACTTCACTTACATGATTAAAAGCATCAAGCACATCTAACAATCACATCAACTACTGGGTTGACAAAGACCAAGAAGTGGAAAAAAAGTAATTCTCCAGTAAAACAGTCTTAGGAGAACAACAGCAAACAAACAGGGACAGGAACAAGCTGGAAGTGTTCCCCTTAACAAAAGAAAAGAAAGATGCCTCCAGAAGGCTGCCTGTGGAATCCTCTGAAGAGAGCAACCTCAGAATTTTCCTCTTGGAAGCAAGTGCTACAGTCAAGGGCACAGGAGACCTGGAAACATAGGCAGTTCTCAAAAGAGTTGATAAAAAGAGCAAAGCGAACTCACTCCTTCCTTAGACTAATTCCTTAATTCTAAACAAAGCAAGCCTAATTCTACTTCACACAGCAAAAAGACCCACAGTCCAACAGTGGGGCCTTAGAAGGAGACAAAGCAATACCCTGACTCTCCTCATCTGTAAATGAATGCATGTGGATTGTTTTCCAAGTCTATGCAAGAAAAGTATGTTCCTGTACATTTCCAAACTGCACATAAAAGTTTCTCTATAGATTAAACGATTCTTATATGGAAAGATAATCAACAGGAAGACCTGTACACTTCAGACATAAGCCTCAAGCCAGAGTAAGATAGAATGTGTAAGAATCCAATTACCTCCATTACCAACTGCAATCCCAGACAGAGAATCCATAATGACAGAGCTCAGTTTCAAGTTACACGCTTCTGTACACACCAGCTATATAGCATATATATATATATATCTCCCCCTTCTTCCATACTACAGTTTCAGGGGGAAAGTCATCTAAAGAAAACACCAAGAATCAAGAAATCCATCCAAATATCTAACTCCACATGCATTCACTAGGAAGACTCTTTGAGAAAAGAGAAACAGAAACACAGAACCCAAAAGAGCCTTCTCAGGTAAACCAGGTAAACTCCTCTTACAACAGGCAGGTTAGCTGTATGATATGTCCAACTTAAGCCTCCCAAATTCACCCTGAATTGCTGCCATTTAAAAGTTGCTTTGGAACTTTGCTTTTCTGCACTTAGTGGTTTCTCGCTTGCCATCTTCAGTGTGTCCACAGACAGCTCATATCCACTTCTTCTTGTGCCAGCACTGCCTTTTAGATTAAATGGTTGGGTTTTCCTCCTTATATTTTACTTTCCAGCAGTCTCCTGGAATCCAAGTCCATTTAATGCAGTCATTCAATGAATATTTCAAAGGCCATTATGACACATGACAATCAAAAAGAGAAGCCCTAGGCTGTCACTTTCAAGGGACACTTTTCCACCTCCCCTATTAGTCTCTCTGTGCCACTGTAGTTGTCTTCTGCTGATGTCCACCCAGCAAATAGATCCTGTGAACCAACCACCTCAAAACCAACCCAAAACAAGGTTTGCTTTTTGGTCATCTCAGTTCCCTGTTTCAGCTCAACACACAACTGCCTCTATCTTCCAGCTTTGAAGAGGTAGGACAGGAAAAGGGAAGAATCTTCCCACATTCACAGAGGCAGCTTAATAGTCCTCAGATGAAGACAACTGAAAGCCTCAAAATCCATTTTGTTAGCCTACTCAGACAAGCTCTTCTACGTTCTCCTTGAAAACAGACTGCCCAAGGACTATCTCATCCATTCCTGGAAGTGACAGAGAGAATCCAAATCCATTCTTCTGAAAGGTCGATCAGAATTTTTATGCATCAATAAAAATACTATTATATTATAGGACTACATCTACTGCCACTCTCACCCCCAAAACCACACCATTTCAGGAACTCATCCTTCATCATACATGGTCTCACTTTGCTCTTCCACAGGCGTTCTCATGTTAATTTCCAAGCCTGTACTGTTATTATTCACTCCTATTGCATGTCTTTGTAATGCACCCCATCTCTATCATTCCAGCATTATCATGAAGCTCTTCCACAACATTCCTGTCTTGCTTTGTAACACTGATTCCTCAAGTTTGCTCACCATATCTTAGATTTCACAACGCCAGTACCGTATATGTGTCCCAAATTCAATCTTGAGAAACATCGTTTGCAAGCACCTCTCACACCAGCAGCTCTTATTCTGACACAATATGCTGCTTCTTCCTCACCTTCATACTATTCCTTATTCAGGTACCAGCTCCTGTGCTAATTCCCCATTATCTCCACCTTAGAAAAAAAGGTTTTTTTCAGTGCTGTGTGATCTGTTTGCAAGTTGCAGGCAGATTCAAGATTCTCTCTTTGTTCTACAGAGAAAGTAAATCACTTGTTCTTGCAAAAGATGCAGGTAAGTCAGGCATGATCCATCTTCAGTGAATGCCCTTAGGACTCAGTCTACTTAGTCTCATGTTGTTAATTCTTTCCTTCATCAGTTCTCTAGAGACTCATGTGCTACTGATGTCAAACTCATTAGGCTATAGCTGTGCAGCTCCCTGCCTCCAGTTCTTTGAGGAGGCTACAGTTCAGTAACAAATCTGCTAAGTCAGAAGTAGAATACATTTGAAATTAATTTCTGGTTAGATTTCCCTCAGGAAGCCTGGCTGTTTGTGGTTCTACCAACTTACCTTCTACTCCTGCAGTTCTCCCTGCAACACAGCTACCTTAACCCTTTCCCCAACTGCCTTCATTTCCAACTTCTCCAGTTCATTTCTTAAGAAACTTACAGAAGGATTTGGTTCAGAGGTATTCCGACCCCATTTTTGACAATACCCGAAAACATCCCTCTACAAACATTTCACTGGCAGCAAGATAAAATTCACTGCGACTAATGTATAGGTGGGTGGGGGTTTTCTGTGTGGTTTTTTTCATTGCATCAACACACTATAACATTACAAGGAAAAAAATACAGGCTGCAGAAGAAGACCAGAAGCAACAAAAGTGATCTCTGCTTTTATTTCCAACCTATGTCTTTTCCAAGAGGTCAACAACAATGTGCTCTTCCTCCTACAGATAACCAACTAACACTCATCTCCTCATAGTCTTTGACAAAAAAGTGGCTGATAAATACTGCAAACCTTGCAACCTAGATTATCGGATCACTTCACAGGAAGATCCTTCGAACATCCACATTTGAACAGCCCCTAAACACCCTGAGGTGAAATGATGCATGCCAAAACCTTGCAGATCTTTCAGAAAAAGAGATGGAAGAATACCTACAATGAATTATTGCACTTGTGCTTCAGCCTCTGCTGGCATGAAGAATGGTTTTACACATTACTATGCTGTGCTTGTTTTGTTTCCTTAGACATTAACAAAGATTAATTTAACTCTTTGCTACCTTGTATGAAATGTGTTTGTGTTACACCTATTCTTGGATAGTCATCACCATGGCATTATTGTTTTGTCAATGTTTTGTAAACAGTACGGATGCCCCACGGACAAAGACTCGCTGCAAGTCCATCGCTACATCTATCTTGTCACAGCAAAGCAACTGTGCGTGCAGCCCAGCTGGGTAACAGCATCTCCTGTTTCAAGGGTTAAAGTAAGCCGAGCATGACACACCTATGAAATACACAACATAAACTTATTCTACCTTACAGGCTACAGGAAGCAGCCAAGCAATTAAGCAACAAAGGAGCCGACACTCAAAACTTAAATCACGGGTAGTCCTGTCCCTTGGGGCCACCAGGCTGTGTGTGCACAAGCTGTACCTGTGAGAGTAGTCCGGCAGGAACAGGAGGCAGGTAACAAATCTGTTTTCCTCTTAACTCTTAGCCCGAACGCCCGACCCACAGCAGCCACAGGCGCAGCACCGATAGCGGTCACGTACGCAGCCCAGCAAACATTAACCACCGCCCGGGGCGGGCTGAGTCATTCATGGCCCCGCGGCTGAGGGAACCCCCGGCCCAGCCAGGGGGAGGCCGCAGCCCTACTGCGATCAGCGGCCCCTCGCCGGTTCCAGCCCGCCCTGAGGTAAGGGAAAGCTCCCCCTCACTCCCCAGGCCCCATCGGATGCGCCCCTTCCGCAGCGGCTCCAGCCTGCCCGTGGGCCTCAGCCGGGCCGCCTCGCCACGGGCTGAGGGCAGAATAAGGCAGGGAGAGAGAGCGAAAGAGGCAGACGACGGGCACCGCGCCGCCTCACCTGGCAGCCCTTCTTGTGGTGGAACCCCACCACCACGATGTGCAGCACCGGGCCCCGATTCTCCATGAAGCCCCGGCGATGGCCGCTCCGGAGGATGCCACCCTGCACGAGCTCTCGCTCCGCCTCCTGCTGCCCAGGGTCCGACAGGGACGCGGCCCCGGCCGCCTGTGCTTCCGCAGCACCCAGCCGCGACCGGCAGCCCCTCCCTCCCTCCGCCCCGTTGCCAAGGCGGGGTTTCGCTTCCGTCCGGCCCCTCAGGAGGTGCCCTGGGCTGTGTGCCGGGGAGCGGCGGTAATTTGCTGCTGCTGCGCCGGGCACTCTGGGGGGGACCTCAGCCCATCGAAATCACTGCCAGGGCGTGCGGCTGCGTGTTATCCTGCGGCCGGGAAAGCATAATGGAGGCCGGGCAGTGGAGTTGCTGAGGCCTTCCCGCCAGTCCTGGTCCCACCATGGTGCCTCCTCTTGGTGGTGGTCTACTTCTTCTCTGAGCAAATCTCTCAAAGCTCCCCTGAAGCGCAGAGAACAGCACATCCTCGGCTGCATCCTTCCAGCCATCCATGTTAATGGCAGCGCATAAAGGGAGTCTTGGATGGTTTCTGTCCAGGTTTGTCATTTTGGAGCACAGGAAAATTTAGTGTGGTTTAAAAACATAGTGCACTCAGGCCGTCCTCCCTCTTTAACCTGTGTTATGACTCAATTCTGCTTATATAAATCAACAGCATTCAGTAAAGACTGGACGTTGAATTATTAAGGTTCTCTGGTGGAAATTGGAGGAAGAGATTATTTTTTAAAGAGCTGTAAATGAATAATGCTTAAAGAAAATCTCAACACGAGCACAGTACCCAGAGGCTCAGATTATAACAGGAAAGCATGTAATTACGTATGGTTCCTCAGCTCCAACAGAAGTACCATTATAGAAAAAATATACTGCAAGGAACACAGGATAAGCTACAAAGAACAATCCAGCTCTGGCAAGTGAATGATTTCTTGTTAGTTTTAGTCTGTAACTTACTGTTTAGTATCATTTTAAAAAGGAAAAGTGTATGAAGTATTGGCCATTGCCTACTGCAATAATGAGACATCACCCCAAAGATGTATGGGAGTGTTTATAGCTCATACTCAGTTCATTGAGGAAAGTGCAGCCTGGCATCACTCTTCCTGCTATGGATTTTGCATTACAGAGACATTTGTATATGATACTGCTGGATAATTATACCTTATTGCGTCTCTAAATAAATTATTAGATTTTTTTTTTTTCTGCTTGAAATTTTCTTTTCTGCTAAAACAGTAAAAACATTGGATTGACAACATCAACCTCTTGTAGGAAAACTGGTTGATATAATATGAGGTTTTTTTTTCGCAGCTCACCCCACGTGTATTTATGAGAAAGAAAGGAAGTGAGAGCTGCTACCTAACAAGCTCTCAGAATTTTCCTAAAGGAATTTATTTCTTGGTGCATAGCTAGCAAACAGCAATGAAAACAGTTCTTCTGTTACTCAGAGGTAAATATTTTACTTAAGAATCACCATCTATTGTATCATTACCGTAGTAATTATAATTCATAGAAGCATGGAAAGGTTTGGGTTGGAAGGGACCTTAAAGCTCCACACCCCCATGCCATGGTCCAGGACACCTTCCACTAGACCAGGTTGCTCAAAGCCCCATCCATTCATCAGTTCATTAGTAATTCTGCATTTCATAACAATAAAAGCAGTTCTTGTGTCCACTTGCTTTTGTGCCAACACTGCCTTTTAGATTAAATGGTTAGTTTTTCCTCCTTATTTTTCACTTCCTGACAGTCTGTATGTCAGACTGCACATAATGCAGTGGTTCAGGAAAATCCATGAGCAAAAATGGCAAGCAAAAAGAAAAGACTGCCACTTTCAAGAGACTGTTTTCCACCCCCTTGCTAGTCTTTTCCCTGTGCCCATGTAGACGCCTTCTGCAGATGTCTGGAAACAGAGCCCATGAACTTACCAGCTCAGAACCAACCCATCAAAACAAGGCTTATTTATTGGAATACTCATTTTGTAAGCCTGCCTAGCCAAGATTTTCCAAGTTGTTCTCCTCCTCTTCCTCTGAACCAGACTACCCAAGGACTATCATCCATTCCTGGAACTGACAGAATGGATTTGAATCCACTTTACTGAAAGGTGAATCAGAATTTTTATACATTGAGAAATATACTGCAAGTGGGCTGTAGAAAAAATTATCATACTAATTGTTTATCTTTTTGTGCTTGACAAGTAGAGTTGACTTGGAGACATCCGATGAGACACGCTTGAAATTTCTGTCCTGCTATGGAGAAGATCAAAGCACAGTGGTAAATGAAGCCTGCATGAATCCATGATTAACAGGGAAAACAGCAGTGCTGGTGATACTCCAGCATTGATCAAGCTCCATGATGTCTGTGTCCCTGCTTAAGTGGCTCTGCCTGGATTCTGCTCACTAGATCCTGTGTTTGGTGAGATAAAGAAATTAAGGTTACTCTTTGCATTTCATCTATGGTTCTGTGCCTGTCCCCACACTCTGCCTGTGCCAACTTACGTCATCATTACAACTACCCTGACTGCCACCTTGTACACACTGCTCCAGGGAGAGACATAGCCCTGCACCCTCGCTATGAGGCAAGCCTCTCCTCACATTGCTCTGGTCACCGTGAAGTGATCCTGTGTGGAGCCGCGTGGCATCTGCTGATGCTAGAGGTTGGATTTGACTTTGTGAACATTCAGATTTGCCTGGGAACTAACCACACAAGAACTGAGCTAGCCGCCCTGCACCCAGCAGCTCTACATCCTCCAAAGGTTCATGCCCTCTAAGGCAGAGGATGGAATTTATTTGGGCTTGATTCTTCCAGAGGCAGCCTGGCACAAAATGTGTGATGCCTCTAGGTGTTGAAATACCAGTGTTATCTAACTATAGACTGGTTTGGGTTGGAAGGGACCTTAAAGCTCACCCAGTTCCAATCCCCTGCCATGTGCAGGGACACCTTCCACTAGAGCAGGTTGCTCAGTGCTGCAGTATGAAGCAAGCAAAGCGTGTTCGAACAGCCAGTGATTTTTGCTCCAAGCCATGTGTGTATCCAAAAGGGCTTCCAAAAATCCTTCTTGCTGCAGCCCACTTGTGAATTAATGAACAAATCTGGGTGGGGAAATAAAGATAGCTATGGCGTACAGCGATTAAAATCCTTCCCCCTGCCACTCCCCGCGGAAAGAAGAGCTATTTGAAGGGTGGGTGAGTGTATTTAATCAGGGGAAAAGGGCGGAGCGATTGCTCTGCGATCCGCTCATCGGGGCTGCCGCACCGCCCTTCACCTTTGAAGCGGGAGGTGGCAGCGATTGGTCAGGCCTGAGTCCAACATGGCAGCCACCGCGACCAGCAACCCGTCTCAGCTGCTGCCGCTCGGTAATGGGTGGTGCTGCTGCGCTGCTCCGGTGTGCGACGGGACGGGACAGCATGGAACGGGATGGGATGGCATGGCATGGAACGGGACAGCATGGAACGGGACGGAAGGGAGATGAGGGAAAGCCTGTTTACGGGCACTTGTGGTTGGTGTGAGCGGCGCTGTCGCTTGGCGGGAAGTTTGAATGGGGTGGACGAGTTCGGGAGGCGCCTGCAGCAAACGGGAATCCCGGTGGATGTCTGTGGGTGCGGAGCAGACACCGGCTGGAGCCGAGTGTTGATGCTCGGCTGGTGTGCGGTAACGAACTGCGCACCCTGGCAGTGCTCGAAGTCAGGCTGGACGGGGCTTGGAGCAACCTGCTCTAGTGGAAGGTGTCCCTGCCCGTGGCAGGGGGTTGGAGCCGGGGGAGCTTAAAGGTCCTTTCCAATCCAAGCTATGATTCTATGGCATTAAAGTGTTCTCACTGAAGGGAACGTCTTCCTGCAGAGTTCCAGCCTCAGAGATGTGGTCGTGTACTAGCAGTACAGGTACACCTTTAAAAATATATTTTCACTGCACACAGTCTCAGGGGTTTTGTTCAAATGAATGTCTTGTTCTATAAAAAAGTCTCTTGTCCCTTTCAACTTTATTGTTTGTTTTTATTTACAGAGCTTGTGGACAAATGTATAGGCTCCCGCATTCATATTGTGATGAAAAGTGATAAAGAAATTGTTGGAACACTTCTAGGATTTGATGACTTTGTCAGTATCCTTTGATGGAAATGTTTTATGCTTCTGCTCAATTCATTTGTTGTATGTGAGAGGAGAGGTTTGAGTTCACTGGATAGAAACTTTTTGTATGGGTGGGTTGTATTATTCTGGTGTTTTTATTTTACAGATAGAATCACAGTTCAGTAAAAATGAAAATAACTTTATTTTTATTTTAAAACTCTGGGCCTTATTTTCTTTGAAGCTGGGTATTCAGATGTGGTGTTAGAAGATGTTACAGATTTCTAAGCATTATTTCTATTTAGTTTCCTGAGAAAAAAAATATTGTATAAAATCTATAAGCAAAGTGGGTTTACATTTTTTGAATACTTGCCAGCTGAATAGTTTATATCTTGGAGTTCAACTATAGTGGTGATGTATTCAGGACAGCTGTGTCATAGAGTAGCTGTTGCATGATATATACTTGTAATCAGGTTCCTATTTTGTAGCCTTAATTTTGCATGGCTTGTGTGTAGAACTAGCTGGTTGTTTGCTTTTACATTTTCTTAAGGTCTAAGCAAAGATTTAAAAAGCTGTCAGACGTAAAGATAAGTATTTATTACTTTGCTGTGCCATGTTTATATTTGAAACCTATTTTGAGTGTAGGTGGTATTCAAGAAATTGCCAGGATTTACAGGGTGAATCTGTGTCTTTATGTACTGAGCAGAAAAGTACAATGGAACTTTATAGTTGCCAGGTAGCTTTCTTTACCCAGGTGGTCAGTTACACTGCAGTGTGGGTGATGTCTTTGTTAGTTCCAGCAATTGTCATCTTAATGCAGACATGTTTGTCAGTTCTGTAATCAAAACATGAATCATTGTCCCTGGTTACATGTTCTCATGTTCTTTTTCTAATGCTGCTTCAGTGAGATTACACCTGAGGGCAGAAGAATCACAAAACTAGACCAGATTTTGTTAAATGGAAGTATCAGAACAATGGTAAGTCATCGTGGTTAAAAGGCAGCATGCATTTATTTTCTGTACCTGTAAGTCTGTCAGCAATTAGGTTACTTTAAGCTGAGTTTTCCAGAGAATTCCATTGCATAAGGTATTTTCCCTTCCAGGGCATATTTGTCTATGAGTGGTGCTGGAAAAGTGGTATTATTGCCTTACTTGGTTCATGTTACAGCTTAAAAAGAATAATAATAAAAAGAGCATGACCCTGATTTTACTTAGGTGACTGTTTTTCCAGTCTTGAGATGTGCAATGGAATCACTGGTTTTGTTACCCACTCTGGAGGCTGGTTCATACAGTGGCTTTAAACTCCTGTGAGTGTTTGCTTGCCTAAGTATGTAGGTGGAATAGATTTTATCCATTATTGTGTATATAAATGTGTTTGCAGAAGTTTGGATGCTTACAAGCTTGTTGAGTCATTTGGTGATGATTATCCACCTGATGCTCAGAGAGCTGTACGTACCTTTACGTGCTTTAAAAAAATATCTGGAGGCCTGTTGGATGATGCCATATGGAAAGCACTACGGGTTTTGTTTCTCATGTGCTGATGTATGTAGATCAGTACTGAAACAGTAATTAGATATTATGATTATGCATCCTTAAGCTGGAGTCTGCAACTTCCTAAGTACTGCAGAAGCAGACCCAGAGTTTTTTGCTTCTCTGCATTGAAGTCTGGAATTCCTACATAAGGGTGTTCCTAATTTTGTAGGAAGAGAAGAGGAAGACTGACTTAGACTCCAGTTGGCTTTGTGTGAATGAGGAATAATCTCCGTTTTGCTGTTGTACCTGCCTTGCGCCTCCTCACTGTGTGTCTCAGCAAGTGCCATCTTGACTTCATTTCTAATCCTTTTTCTGGTTATTGTTTTGCGTCCTTGAAGGACAGTGCGTGTTCTGACTTCTTGTATGGGGTAAAACTACTACCATCCAGTTCAGCTGGTGGGATGCTGCCCACGAAGCAGAAGCTGGGGATTCTTAGAGTGCAGATTTTCAGTAAGACACGAATATGTTTCTATATTAGATCTGGTGTCTGTTTTGGGGACACACCTTTCCACATAAGGGAAACTACGCTTTAGACGTTTTCTTATTTTGGTCCCAAAAGCAGCAGAGCTCTTTGTCTTTAGAAGTGCTCAGCTAACTATTAAGAATGTGTCAGTGAAAGAAATTACCCTCTTCTTTTTTCCCCTTAGTCATATTTTTCCTTTTCCATTTCTTTTTGTGATGTCCAGTTGTTTACTTAAAGAAAATTCTTTACTCTCTTCACAGGAGAATGCTGTGCTGACTTACCCTGCTGCCTGTAGAAGGGTTCAGGCTCTATTAGTTTTTGGGCTGTGCTTAGCAATAAAAGTCAGAAAGGGGAAACCAACTTCCCAGTATAGTGACAGCCTGGGGAAGAATGAGCAATTGGAGAAATCCCACATGATTTCTGAAAGTGGGAAAGAAGTTCTATGTCTTTCTGAAAACAAGCTGTAGTGTTTCTAGACAAAAAAATCTCCTTGAACTGAATAACAAAGACAAAACACAAAACGTCTTACGTAGGAACTCCTTTGTGTCTTGTTAAACATTCTTTGTATTTTGGAGGTTCTTTTTGGCATGTGTTTCTCTGGTAGTAACTGACTTCTGTTGCCAGAGGAAGATAATATAAAATCTAAACACCATTTTTGTGGTCTACCATGAAGTCTCCATCTGCTAAAATCTTCTAAAGGAAGAACAGTCGCATGCGAGTTTGTAAAACTTTAATCTATGGCACTAACACACAATTGTCTTATTCTTTTATAGCTGGTTCCTGGAGGAGAAGGACCTGAAGTATAAATCGATACAGTTGTCATCTATGAAGATACATATATATATATATATGTATAGAATATAATATAAATAGAGCTTTTGGGGTATGGGTGTGTTTGTTGGTTGTTTATTTTGTTTACGCGCTCTTGCAGTTGATATTTGATAACAGGGATTTCCTCTTCAGGAAAGGTGCGCTGCTAATGATGATGCTGACTTTGTCAGTTGAAATCATTACCTTTTTGTAATGATGCACTAATCTGTCCTGAATGAAAGGCTTTCTTTTAGTTACTGTGTTTTGTTATGTAAGTGCACAAGTTAGTTGATGGAGTAGAAAGCCAATGTTTAGTTTTTCTGCATCTGTTGCATTTGTTGATGACCCAAGTCTATATAAAAGACAAGTCGTGAGCCAAGACATTGCTGTTCTTTGAAGTACAGGCAGATACTAAGCTGGATCATTTGATTAAACACTGCTTGAGGTTGTGTCACCAGGAACTGGTACAGTGCTGGAGAATGCTGAAAAGCTCTTCAAAGTGGATGCATCTGTTTGATACTCAGCAGCCTTTCACTCTACTGGCCTTGAGGTTCAGCGCTCTTGGACATCTTTTGCTTGGTAAATACACTTTCTTGTAGTAAAGACACTGTAATAGTATTTGGCTAGCGAGGAGAGACAGAGCAGACCTGGCTCATGTTTTGGGGAGTAAAGAAAAAGGCTGGTGCTACAACTTCTCATCCACGTCAGTGGTGACTGCTTTCACCACTAAGTGGCGCTGTGTATCCTTAATTAAACTGGGAGCTGCTGTGTGTATGTTTAATTGAATTGGGAGCTGCCGCTGCCTGCTTGTGAAGTTCAGAGGAGTCATTTTAGAATAAACATTCTTTTGGCTGCATCTGTTCTCCTGGGATATAAAAACTTGACAGATGTTTGGAGCAACTGCTGCATCAAGAGAATGTCTGTAAAGTAAGGAATTGCCATTTCTATTTTGTCATGATGGGCAAAAAAATAACTGATTCTAAATCATGTCCACTGCAGCTTATGCTTTCAGAATGCAGAATTCAACTGATCTCAATGTGTAAATGTCTTTGGAGAAGGAATCACAGGTGCCCGCTGTTACTGTAGCCAAGGAGCGCACAGGCTCACAGAGACAGGACATGCTTTGCCTTCCTGCCACCAGAAGAGGAGTTGAAGAAGGGGGCTCAGGAGCAAGAGACTGCAAGGAAGATCCTTTTGCCTTGCTTTATCTGTCAGAAACTCTGCCTTCTGCTAGCTGGGTCTTGCCTTGAAATACATTGAAAACTTCTTACTTTAGCCTGTGAAAAGGGCAAGAGACTCCCTCCTCTCTCCCAGGGAATGTGGTATTTGGACTTGCTTGTTCTGAATATCTGCAATTGTCATGTTCAGACTGCATGGTGACAGGCTATGCCATTGACTCCCTGGATGGTTTTTCATTTCTGTCCTCATTTCCTTCTCCAGCTTTTCTTTTTTTTAATACAATAAAAAATACTCTTTGAAGTTGCGTTTGATTGGAATATCAACATTTGGTCGGGGCTCCAGACACTTTATTTCCTAGCAATAAGCTGAGTCTTTTTGTCAGAACAGTTAAAGTGTTTCTAGCCAGTGTAGCGATACATGTTGTGTTGTTTTTCTGTTATCAGTAAGATTCTGTACATGTTCCAGTGTCTGCTTCAATCAGGATTTTGAAAGCAGTCTTAAACTGAAGAGAGGTTTCATGCTTGGCCAAGGAAAAGAGCAGATCTTGACTCAAAAACAACTTTTCAGGGGTAAAGGTGAACTATTTTGTGCCTTTGGGTTTTTATTCTGATAGCATGAATTTTATCTCTCTCAGACAATCTCTCAGGATTGTCTTCTGTCTAGGGAAAAAAGCTTGGTGTTGCTTCACCCTTCTTTTCTGGTTATGGGCTTTTTTCCCCCACTTAGAGGAGGTGCTAAGACTGCTACATTTTAGGAAGACATTTTAATTTGTGACTCGGAGGTCTGCAGACATCACTCTAAAGGCAGTTTCTGTGCATACAAATGCTGTTAATCCTTTATAATATGAAAAGAGAGAGTTTATAAACTTTCAGCTGAGAATACAAAGTATTCCAGGTGGATCTGGCTTACTTTGCATTCAGTATCTCTGTAGCCTGTTGCTTTGGAAGTGCAGGTAATAAGCTTTTCAATGGAATGAGTCACTGCTGGTGTGGTTTTTTTTTTGCCTCCCCTAGAAATCTAGTGCTTAATCATATTGCACTGTCCTGTAGAAGTTGTGGGCACTGGTGTCCACTTAGGGTCCCACTACAAGTAGGTCATTTAACAGAATAACCCCAGGCTTTAAAACTATGTGAAAGTTATGCTTAAAGTTTAGAGCAGGGAAGTCATCAGGTTAAAATAACTTCCTGCTTATGCCATGCAAAGTGATGGTTCCTCTCAGTTGTGTTTTGTAGGGTTTTGGGCTTTTTTTCTTCTCTAAGATGGCACTGGTTACAATGATCTTTAGTTTTGCTACATGGCTGACTGGCTTAGTATGGACATGGTTCCTTTCTACCTACTCTTTCAGTTTACTTGCAGCTATAGTTGATAGCTGTTTGGAGTTGTGAAGCTGTATGCTTGCCCTATAACAATATAGGCTTTTCCTGTTAAGTATCTAGACCCTTTTTCAGGATTTATTATGTATTAGGTTTTTTTACCACATGAAATGGAAAGAGATTTCTGGCTTGCTGTTGGCTTTTAATAGGTGTTTCATCCTTGGGGATTTGCCCAGCAATTAATTAATCGACTTTGGCATTCAGCTGAAGGACATTTTTCATACCTGTGTTTAAATATTGATGCTAACAAGCCATCATACCCATTCATAGATCTACAGATCCTTAAATATAGGCAATAGGCGTATTCTTTAATAAAGCCTAATCTTTTTGGCAAGAAGCACCGAGTCTGCACTTGCAGCTTTTCCCTATCAGCAGACTTTGAAAAAAGGGAGAACCTGTATCAAGTACACAGGATGGTGATGATTAAAATCCTAAGCTGTGTACCCATCTCAGGAGGAACGTGTGTGCCTGGGGGTGAGTGCGTGTGGTGCAGCATCACTAACATTTGCTTAGGAAAGTTTTGAAGAAGGAAGCATTTGCTGTATGGAAGATCCTTGAGGACAATTTCTGACATTGCTGAAGTTTATTGAAACTCTGCACTGGTTTCAGTGGTTATGCAGGTTTGGTTTCTGCTCGTGCATTAAATCTGAAGAGAACAAGCCTGCATTTGAAGGAAGGTTTTGTATGAAGGGTAATCAAACCAGCAACCTACTTAAAAGTTATTTTAAACATTTGGAGTGTCAATTAAAGGCAAATGAGTAAAGTTTGCTCCTACCTATGCTCACATCATAGACTGGTTTGGGTTGGAAGGGACCTTAAAGTTCATCCATTTCCAGCCCCTGCTATGGGCAGGGACACCTTCCACTAGACCAGGTTGCTCCTACATCAGCTGTGACTATTGAACACAGTCAGCAGCCCACCTCAGAACTTTTTGGCTTCCAGTTGAAATGTGCAAGTTGTCTGACTTCATGGCCATGAGCTGATGGGTCATGGCTGTCTCAAAGCTTGAAGTACTGTAAGGTGCATCTGTTGCATGGCAGCGGCTCTTCGACGTTACTAACTGTGCAACAGGGTGCCTAAATTCAGTGAATAATATGTGTTGTTATCAAAATAGCTGTTTGCATTTCAACATGATACAGGATGAGCTTTAAAGTCTGTTCCAACCCAGACCAGTCTGGGGTTCTGTGATTCTCTGATCTGCACAATTTAATATTCTAAATAGGAGTGAACAGCGTATTTGTAGCAGTTTGCTCTTTACAAGAGGAAATCTATAGATTAGTTTTATCCTGTGTTTGAAAAGAGATATGTTTATGGAAGATAATGAGTCTATCCCAAATATTGAAACACCTCCAGTTTGAGTGCACTATTGGAGCTTCTGTAAGACTTCCAAATCGTAACAGTCTGTCAGGTTATGCTTGCGGAGTCTGAGACCTTACATGTTGCCCTATGAAAAGGTAAATATTGGTAATAATTGATGTTTGCTTTGTAGGCAATGCCTTTTGTATGCTCTAAAATCACATATAAATAACTTCTATTGTACAGACGACTTCTGTTGCTTCCTTTTTATTCATAAAATTACTGTTCATCAAACCATATAAGCACATACCTAAATCCCAGTAAATTCGGTGTTAAACTTCTTGAATTGCTATAAACTTTAGTGTTGCTGTGACCTGTTTTGCGTGATAAAGCGAAGTGGTCAGCTTTGTGTTCCTGCATGTCTGTGTGATTAATATGCAGTAGCTCAGAGCAAGTTACCAGGCAACTGTATGCACAGGCACAAAGCACCTTTTAATCAGTGGAAAAGTACAGATTCTCTTGTGACCTCGGTCACTCATAGAGATAAGAGTGTTTTTATACTTCTCTCTCAGTAGGAGAAATACTGTGTTCCTGCAGTGTGTGAGAATCACTTTACCAAGATTCTTTCATTTCTGAAACACTTTGGGGGAAAATGCAGGAAAACACACTTTAAAACCTAATATAATCCAAGACAGACTCCAGGACTCGTGTTTTTGCAGTTATTTCAAAATTGTATAACCTTACAGATACTGAGAATGAGTATCTTGTATGTGATATATTCAAAAATGTCACTTTTGGTGTCCTACACACTTGTTGATCATAATGCTTTTGTTTGTTAATGGCAACTATCAACAGATGGTGGATTTTGGTTTCAAGGCTCTGTGGAACAGAAAAGGTAGTTTGCCAGTGTTCTGACTGCTGTCGCAGACATTATTTCAGTGGATTTCAAGTAAGACATTCCAAATACCTTTCTGTACTGCTGCTCATATTGTTTTAATCAGAAGAATGTTTCTGTACTATGCTTACCCATAGATGCACATGGATCTAGGTTGCATGCTGTTGCAGAGCCCTTAATCTACCAGTTAAAGATTATTTCTTCCAGTTCTTGTGCATTTATAAGCACGTATCTACCTGTATACCTACTAAACGGTAACCTTTATTGAGATGTAATATGCAACTGCTACAGAAGTTGGCTATTTGACTTGTCATGGTATGTGCTCCCAATCAGTTGTTTTATTGTCTAATAAGTACCTTTAATAAGAGGAGAATGTCAGAAAATAGATGAGTTGGGCTTTATATTAGCACAAATTTTCATAAGATTTAAGAGAATACAGTTTTGGAGTAAGGGTTTACGTACTGCTAACAGTGATCTGTTGGGCTAATCTTTTGCAAGGAACTGAGGTGTTTAA